CAGGAGCTTGCCTGGTCCAGGAGCTTGCCTGGTCCAAGAGCTTGCCTAGTCCAAAAGCTTGCGTGGTCCAGGAGCTTGCCTGGTCCAGGAGCTTGCCTGGTCTAGGAGCTTGCCTGGTCCAGGAGCTTGCTTGGTCCTAGAGCATGCCTGGTCCACAAGTTTGCCTGGTCCAGGTGCTTGCCTGGTCTAGGAGCTTGCATGGTCCAGGAGCGTGCCTGGTCCAGGAGCTTGCCTGGTCCAGGAGCTTGCCTGGTCCGAGAGCTTGCCTGGTCCAGGAGCTTGCCTGTTCCACGAGCGTGCCTGGTCCAGGAGCTTGCCTTGTCCATGAGCTTTCTTGGTCTGTGAGCTTGCGTGGTCCAGGAGCTTGCCTGGTCCAGGAGCTTGCTTGGTCCAAGAGCTTGCCTGGTCCAAGAGCTTGCGTGGTCCAGGATCTTGCCTGGTCGAGGAGCTTGCCTGGTCTAGGAGCTTGGCTGGTCCAGGAGCTTGCCTGGTCTAGGAGCTTGCCTGGTCCAAGAGCTTGCGTGGTCCAGGAGCTTGCCTGGTCCAGGAGCTTGCTTGGTCTAGGAGCTTGCCTGGTCCAGGAGCTTGCCTGGTTCTGGAGCGTGCCCGGTCCAGGAGTTTGCCTGGTCCAGAAGCTTGCCTGGTCTAGGAGCTTGCATGGTCCAGGAGCGTACATGGTTAAGGAGATTGCCTGGTCAAGGAGCTTGCCTGGTCCAGGAGCTATCCTGGTCCAGGAGCTTGCCTGTTCGAGGAGCGTGCCTGGTCCAAGAGCTTGCCTGGTCCAAGAGCGTGCATGGTCCACGAGCGTGCCTGGTCCATGAACTTGCCTCGTCCAGGAGCTTGCCTAGTCAAGGAGCTTGCCTGGTCCAGGAGCTTGCCTGGTCCAGAAGCTTGCCTGGTTCAGGAGTTTGCCTGGTCTAGGAGCTTGCCTGGTCTAGGAGCTTGCCTGGTCCAGGCTCGTGCCTGGTCCACGAGCTTGCCTGGTCCAGAAGCTTGCCTGGTCCAGGAGCTTGCATGGTCTAAGAGCTTGCATGGTTGTTATAGTCACAATAGGCTCCAATGTGCCTAAAACGAAAGATAGAGTGCACAGCCGGATTTCTGCACAGCGGATTCAAACGTTCATAGCGTTCTGGTCACAACTTTAAATGACCTGATTCAACTTGGATCTGGAGTGTCCGAACGTCGCCTACAATAGGCAATTTAGATCGCACAATTTGACCAAGTATTGACGACACAGTGGCGGTTTGAACGAACGGCACTATGGCAGCCACTATAGTCTTAGAACACAAAATAGGAAGAGATATGAAGAGTTACGAGTTGGGAATGACTCCCAGCTCCTACAAACCCCAAGAGCCGAGGTACAGTGATGTGGAACAGTGCCACACTGTCCCCAACCACGAAGGGTCTCGAAACTACCCTTTACTAGGGCCTACACCAAGTGAAATGTTACACTACACAAAGTAATGTAACTATCTTCAATATCTTGAGGTGTACCCTTTTGGCGAGCTTCGAAATCACTTGAGGCTTGACACCAAGGCTCGGGCTCTTCATCACAAACTCATCCTTGAGTTCTTGATGGGTCTGCTGCACACACCTGCGACACACCGAACGTTCGACACAGGACAAAATAGAAACTGCGCACGACAAAATAGAAACCGCGCGCGAGACACAAACGACCGCGTAACACGCGTCTAGCGATAACTCGCTATTGACTCAACACACACACTCGACATCATGACTCAACATTCATACACAATTATAAGCATGAAACATATATTATCCCATGCCCTCATACCATTCCATACACACACACATGCATGCACACGGACAACAAGCCGAGTGCAAACCATAGGGTTGCACCAACAAACTCCCCCTCGGATTGTTGGCCTTAGGATATGTTGCTCTCTCAGTTCAGAGCCATCCCAGCCAGCTTGCAACACTTCCAATGCTGCTGCTCCACCAGCCTCTTGGTCATCATGTCAGCCGGCTGCCCCGTGGTCTTCACGTACCGCAACTCAACTTCACCTGCGGTCACCATGCTCCTTGTCCAATGCCACTTCACCCTCATGTGCTTTGTGAGTCCATGCAACACAGGGTTCTTAGCAAGAGCAATGGCACCCTGGCTGTCACAGTAGAGTGGGGTAGGTCCTTGCTGCTCCTCCCCCAATTCAGCCAACAAACGCCGCTGCCACACAATCTCCCGTACGGCACGGAAGAGTGCCATGTACTCGGACTCCACCGAGCTCAAAGCTTGGTCAACCTGCTTCTTGCTCTCCCAAGCAGTTGGGCCTCCACCAAAACAGCATATGAAGCCTCCCACACTTGTCATGTCCTCTGGTTCCGATGCATATGACGCATCCGAGTAGGCGGTGAGGAACAAACGCCCGGGCTCAACACCATCCGCGCCCTTTTGGCGCCTTTGTGCCGCCGCCGAGTATTGCAGCCCAACGGTCGGTGTTTGGCCAAGATACTTGGCCACCCTCATTCCAGCTGCTACCTGCTCCTCATTGGGGCATTGCACAACCCTAGCCAGCTGCCCGGTGGCAAACGCGACGTCCGGTCGGGTGTTTACCGCCGCATACATGAGGCTGCCCACCAACGAGTGAAATCGGCGCCTCTCCTCTTCTCCAACGCTCTCCTCCTCTGGCCCCTTCACACACTTGAACCCTGAGGGAAAGGGAGTAGCCACATGACCTTCACTCTGGCCGAAGTTGGCAGCCAACGCCTCCAGGTACTTCCGTTGGTGCACTCGCATGCTCCGCTTCTCCACGTCTCGTTCGATGTGGAGCCCAAGGTAGAAGTTCACGTCGCCAAGGGACTTGCACTTGAACTTGTCATGCAGCTTCAGCATCACCTCCTTCACAAGGTCAGAGGAGGGTGAGAATATGAGAATGTCATCCACATAAACCACCATGAAGCTCCTCTGCTCCCCCTCGCCAAGCATGAACAAGGAGTGATCGGCCGTTGAGGGAGTGAAGCCGATCTCCTCCAACACTTCGCGCAGCTTCATGTACCATTGCCTAGGGGCCTGCTTCAGCCCATAGAGGGCCTTCTTCAGCTTCCACACTCTGCCACTACCATCATCAAACCCCTCTGGCTGCGCCATAAAAATCTCCTCCTCAAGGATGCCGTTAAGGAATGCCGTTACGATGTCCATTTGTTTAACTACCCATCCTTTGATGGCGGCTCCAGCGAATAGGGTTCGCAGCGTCGTCGGCTTCACCACAGGGGCAAACAGCTCCTTGAAGTCCACCTTCTCCTTCTGCTGGTACCCCTTGGCTACAAGCCTAGACTTGTAGCGCTCGATCTTGCCGTCGGCATCCGACTTGATTTTGAAGAGCCACTTGGACGTTATCGCCGTACGCCCCTCCGGTAGCTCACTCTCCATGGCCTTCTTCCACTCCTCAGCATCACTACTCTCCAAAGCCTCCTTGAGAATTGCTGGTTCTCCCGGCATCTCCACCGGAGAGAAGAACGCGAAGGCACACTCCTCGTAGTCACTCTCCTCGTCGTCTCCGACCATCATTGCCGCTCCGGCCAGGGCTGTCTTGCCCTGCTTTCCCAGCGCATCATAGGTCAGCCTATTAGGGGGTTGAACTCTCCTCTTCCCCCTTCCTTCCTCCTCAGCTGCAGGGACTTGAAGGCCTTGGCGTTGCTGCGGTGTGGCTCGAATCCGTGGAGCACTTGTAGTGCGGGAAGGGAGTGACGGTGCACGCTCGCTCACTTGCTGCACCTCCTCCTCTTCTTCCTCTGCATTATTGGCCTCCTCTCCCCCATTCACAAGGGAAGATTGCCTTGTGGTAGTGCTGCCGCTGCTCAGCTCCAAAGGCAGCTCCACATGCTCCAAACCGGAACTCTTCACCTCCCCAAACCGCACGCCTATCTTCGCCTCATTCTCCGCCTTCCAATCCTTGTACATGAAGTTCTCCATGAACTTGCAGTCCCTGCTCACCAAGAACTTCTTGGTGAATGGGTCCCAAAGAAGCCATCCCTTGCTGTTTTGAGCCATGCCCAAGTGCACGGCCCACACCGCCTTGGCACCAAGCTTGTTGTGCCGAAGATGCTTAGGCACGAGCGCCATGCACATGCACCCAAACACCCGAAGCATATCCACCTTTGGCTTCCTTCCTAGCCACTCCACATAGGGCACCCATTTGTCTGCTCCTACATGAGTCAAGGCTCTGTTCTTGGCCACACACGCACTCCGCACCGCATCAGGCCAGAAATAGTCGGGTAGCCCAGCTTCAATGAGCAACCCACGTGCCGCCTCCGTGATTGTGCGGTTCGCTCGCTCGGCGATGCCGTTCATTGCAGGGGAGTATGGCATGGTGAGGGAGTGCCGAATACCATTCTTCTTCAGCCACAACCCAAACTCCTTGCTCAGGAACTCTCCCCCTCGATCGGTGCGGATTGATCTGACTAGACGGTCTTGTTGCCGCTCCACCATCGGGAACCAATCCGTCTTCAACGTTTCAGCCACGTCGCTCTTCCTGGCCAGCACGTACACCCAAGTCATACGGGTGTAGACGTCCACAATAGTGAGGAAGTACTCAGCTCCAGCAGCTCCAAGCTTCAGGGGGCCCACCACGTCCATCACCACCTCATCAAGTGGTGCCTTAGCTGTTGCCTCCGAACTAGAGAATGGGAAACGGGTGAACTTGGCTTGCATGCACGTCGGGCAGCCAAGTACCTCATCGGGCTCCCCCTTCACACGTATGCCAGCAACCATCTCATTCTTCACTAGCTGCTGCAAGATGGGCAGGGCCACATGCCCCATGCGCCGATGCAAGGTGAGCCAATCACACTCCCCCGTAGCCGAAGTTGGATTGGAGAATGCCGCGCTCGCAATAGCGCCCCACATACTCTCTCCGTAGTCCTCCTCCGCTGCTGCCTCGGGGTTCTCCTAACCCTTTTGCTGCTCCTTGGCTGCTGCACCTCTCTCCATAGGTTCACCAAGCTTGCTGGTCCCTCCAGGTTTTCTCTTCTTGAGCTCATTCTCCTTAACCCTTCGAGTTAGTGTCCATACCGGCCTTTGCCAACCGCCGCACGGAAATCAGGTTTGCAGCAAGGCTGGGCACCCAAAGCACGTTCTTGAGGCCCACCATCTTCCCATCAGCACCCTTGAACATGGCCTTCCCCATGCCTTTCACCTCAGCTCGCTGCCCCAAAGCCGATGTGACATGCTTCACCGGTGACAGCTCGAGTTCGGTGAGCAAGTCCGGGCGAGGTGTCATGCTATAGGTAGCGCCACTATCAATCACCCAGTAGTCCAGGGGGTGTAGGGTCACCTTCCCCACAGCTGCTGGCTCCTCAAAGCCTTCATCCTTCTCTGGACCAGCCGGTGCTTGCGTCGACACGAAGTAGAATAGACCCGGGTATCGATCGTCGCTCGGGTCCTTGTCGTTGTCTCCGCTCTTCATGTTTGCAGCTCCGCCACCGCGACCGCCACGGCCTCCACGGCCTCGTCCTCTCCCTCCTCCTGCTCCTCTACCCTCTTGGCCTTGAGCAGGGGTCCAACCATCAGGGAGTTTGTAGCAGTCGCGCCACATGTGTCCGCTCTTGTGGCAATAGTGACACTCGCCGTCGAATCGGCCGCGACCGCGTCCGTAGCTCTTGTCGTCGCTGCCGTAACCGCCACTCCCGCGGCCTCCGCCGAAGTTGCTGCCACCAAACCTTCCTCCCCCTCGTCCTCTGCCTCTTCCTCGACCATATCCACGGCCGATGCTCGCTGCCCCAGCGCCATCCGCACTCGCCAACTCACGGCGGCGGAAATCCTCTTGAAGGATAGCCCGCTTCACGTCTTCGAGCGAGAGGCGGGGCAAGTCGCAATTCAGGTTGATGATGAGCGAGGACCATGATTCGGGGAGTAGGGCCAGCAATTTGGTCTTCTTTTTGAGCTCACTATAGTTCAAATCAGCTCCCTCAAGCCGCGTCAACAAGTCGAAGAATTTCTGCACCCCTTCTTCAACCGCTTCATCCTCTTCAATTCGTAACGTCGCCATTTGCCGTTCCAACACCACAGCTACCGCCGCTGTTGCAGGAGCGTGTACACCCTTGAGAGCAGCCCATGCTTTTGGTCCCTTCTCTGGTTCACGCTGGAAAGGCTTGATGTGACGGATTTGGCTGCTCCCCAACGCTTGCCCAAGTAGGAGGTAGCCTTGTGCGCTCTTCCGCACCCACGGGCTCTTCTCCGGGTCGTTCTCGGGACGCTTCTCCGTTCCTTCCATCACCTCCAGCAGGTCATAGTGGTCAAATATGTTCTCCATTCTGAAGGACCACTCAGCAAAGTTGTCACCATTGAACTTGTCAAGGCCAAATACTCTAGGCTCATCCCTAAATGGGCCAACACTTGGTTGCACGGGCGCCATGGTTGAATCACGGGGTTGGCCTTGAGCTTGGGCTTCTCCTCTGCCACCAGCACCTCTGCCACCCCTTTCCTCAGGTCCAGCCATTGTCGAAACTGCTCCAAGGGGCTCTGATACCACTTGTTATAGTCACAATAGGCTCCAATGTGCCTAAAACGAAAGATAGAGTGCATAGCCGGATTTCTGCACAGCGGCTTCAAACGTTCATAGCGTTCTGGTCACAACTTCAAATGACCTGATTCAACTTGGATCTGGAGTGTCTGAACGTCGCCTACAATAGGCAATTTAGATCGCACAATTTGACCAAGTATTGACGACACAGTGTTGGTTTGAACGAACGGCACTACGGCAGCCACTATAGTCTTACAACACAAAATAGGAAGAGATATGAAGAGTTACGAGTTGGGAATGACTCCCAGCTCCTACAAACCCCAAGATCCGAGGTACAGTGATGTGGAACAGTGCCACACTGTCCCCAACCACGAAAGGTCTCGAAACTACCCTTCACTAGGGCCTACACCAAGTGAAATGTTACACTACACAAAGTAATGTAACTATCTTCAATATCTTGAGGTGTACCCTTTTGGCGAGCTTCGAAATCACTTGAGGCTTGACACCAAGGCTCGGGCTCTTCATCACAAACTCATCCTTGAGTTCTTGATGGGTCTGCTGCACACACCTGCGACACACCGAACGATCGACACAGGACAAAATAGAAACTGCGCACGACAAAATAGAAACCACGCGCGAGACACAAACGACCGCGTAACACGCGTCTAGCGATAACTCGCTATTGACTCAACACACACACTCGACATCATGACTCAACATTCATACACAATTATAAGCATGAAATATATATTATCCCATGCCCTCATACCATTCCATACACACACACATGCATGCACACGGACAACAAGCCGAGTGCAAACCATAGGGTTGCACCAACAATGGTCTAGGAGCGTGCCTAGTCCAAGAGCTTGCCTGGTCCACGAGCTTGCCTGGTCCAGGAGCTTGCCTGGTCCAGGAGCTTGCTTGGTCCAGGAGCTTGCATGTTCCACGAGCGTGCCTGGTCCAAGAGCTTGCCTTGTCCTGGAGCTTTCTTGGTCCGTGAGCTTGCCTGGTCCAGGAGCTTGCCTGGTCAAAGAGCTCGCCTAGTCCAAGAGCTTGCGTGGTCCAGGAGCTTGCCTGGTCAAGGAGCTTGCATGGTCTAGGAGCTTGCCTGGTCCAGGAGCTTGCCTGGTCTAGGAGCTTGCCTGGTCAAAGAGCTTGCGTGGTCCAGGAGCTTGCCTGGTCCTGGAGCTTGCCTGGTCTAGGAGCTTGCCTGGTCCAGGAGCTTGCCTGGTCCTGGAGCGTGCCTGGTCCACGAGTTTGCCTGGTCGAGAAGCTTGCGTGGTCTAGGAGCTTGCATGGTCCAGGAGCGTGCCTAGTCCAGGAGCTTGCCTGGTCCAGGAGCTTGCCTGGTCCAGGAGCTTGCCTGTTCGAGGAGCGTGCCTGGTCCAAGAGCTTGCCTGGTCCAAGAGCGTGCAAGGTCCACGAGCGTGCCTGGTCCATGAACTTGCCTGGTCCAGCAGCTTGTCTGGTCCAGGAGCTTGCCTGGTTCAGGAGCTTGCCTGGTCTAGGAGCTTGCCTGGTCCAGGAGCTTGCCTGGTCCAGGTTCGTGCCTGGTCCACGAGCTTGCCTGGTCCAGAAGCTTGCCTGGTCCAGGAGCTTGCCTGGTCAAAGATCTTGCATGGTCCAGGAGCGTGCCTAGACCAAGAACTTGCCTGGTCCAGGAGCTTTCTTGGTCCAGGAGCTTGCCTAGTCCAGGAGCTTGCTTGGTCCAGGAGCTTGCCTGGTCCAGGAGCTTGTGTGGTCCAGGAGCTTGCCTGGTCCACGAGCCTGCCTGGTCCAAGAGCTTGCCTGGTCCAGGAGCGTGCATGGTCCACGAGCGTGCCTGGTCTAGGAGCTTGCCTGGTCCAGGAGCTTGCCTGCTCAAGGAGCTTGCCTAGTCCAGGAGCTTGCCTGGTCCAGGAGCTTGCCTGGTCCTCGAGCCTGCCTGGTCCAAGAGCTTGCCTGGTTCAAGAGCGTGCATGGTCCACGAGCGTGCCTGGTCTTGGAGCTTGCCCGGACCAAGAGCTTGCCTGGTCTAGGACCTTGCCTGGTCCAAGAGCTTGCTTGGTCCAGAAGCCTCCCTGGTCCAAGAGCTTGCTTGGTCCAAGAGCTTGCCTTGTCCAGGAGCTTTCTTGGTCCGTGAGCTTGGCTGGTCCAGGAGCTTGCCTGATCCAGGAGCTTGCCTGGTCCAAGAGCTTGCGTGGTCCAAGAGCTTGCGTGGTCTAGGAGCTTGCCTGGTCTAGGAGCTTGCCTGGTCTAGGAGCTTGCCTAGTCCAAGAGCTTGCGTGGTCCACAAGCTTGCCTGGTCCAGGAGCTTGCCTGGTCTAGGAGCTTGCCTGGTCCAGGAGCTTGCCTGGTCTAGGAGCTTGCCTAGTCCAAGAGGTTGCGTGGTCCACAAGCTTGCCTGGTCCAGGAGCTTGCCTGGTCTAGGAGCTTGCCTGGTCCAGGAGCTTGCCTGGTCCTGGAGCGTGCGTGGTCCACGAGTTTGCCTGGTCCAGAAGCTTGCCTGGTCTAGGAGCTTGCATGGTCCAGGAGCGTGCCTGGTCTAGGAGCTTGCCTGGTCCAGGAGCTATCCTGGTCCAAGAGCTTGAATGGTCCAGGAGCTTGCCTGTTCGAGGAGCGTGCCTGGTCCAAGAGCTTGCCTGGTCCAAGAGCGTGCATGGTCCACGAGCGTGCCTGGTCCATGAACTTGCCTGGTCTAGGAACTTGCCTAGTCTAGGAGCTTGCATGGTTCAGGAGCTTGCCTGGTCTAGGAGCTTGCCTGGTCCAGGTTCGTGCCTGGTCCACGAACTTGCCTGGTCCAGGAGCTTGCCTGGTCCAGGAGCTTGCCTTGTCTAAGAGCTTGCATGGTCCAGGAGCATGCCTAGTCATAGAGCTTGCCTGGTCCAGGAGCTTTCCTGGTCCAGGAGCTTGCCTGGTCCAGGAGCTTGCCTGGTCCATGAGCTTGCCTGGTCCAGGAGCTTGCCTGGTCCAGGAGCTTGCCTGTTCCAGGAGCATGCCTGGTCCAAGAGATTGCCTAATCCAAGAGCGTGCATGGTCCACGAGCGTGCCTGGTCCAGGAGCTTGCCTGGTCCAGGAGCTTGCCTGGTCAAGGAGCTTGCCTGGTCCAAGAGCTTGCCTGGTCCAGGAGCTTCCCTGGTCCACGAGCTTGCCTGGTCCAGGAGCTTGCCTGGTCTAGGAGCTTGCCTAGTCCAGGAGCTTGCCTGGTCTAGGAGCGTGCCTGGTCCACGAGTTTGCCTGGTCTAGAAGCTTGCCTCGTCCAAGAGCTTGCCTGGTCTAGGAGCTTGCATGGTCTAGGAGCGTGCCTGGTCCAGGAGCTTGCTTGGTCTTGGAGCTATCCTCGTCCAGGAGCATGCCTGGTCCAGGAGCTTGCCTGGTCCAAGAGCTTGCCTGTTCCAAGAGCGTTCTTGGTTCAGGAAGTTGCTTTGTCTAGGAGCTTTCTTCGTCCGTTAGCTTGCCTGATCTAGGAGCTTGCCTTGTCGAGGAGCTTTCCTGGTCCAAGAGCATGCCTGGTCCAGGAGCTTGCCTAGTCCAGGAGCTTGCGTGGTCCAATAGCTTGCTTGGTCCAGAAGCCTGCCTAGTCCAAGAGCTTGCCTGGTCCAGGAGCGTGCCTGGTCCAAGTGCTTGCGTGGTCCAGGAGCTTGCGTGGTCCAGGAGCTTGCCTGGTCCAGGAGCTTGCCTGGTCCAGGACCTTGCCTGGTCCAAGAGCTTGCCTGGTCCAAGAGCTTGCGTGGTCCAGGAGCTTCCCTGGTCTAGGAGCTTGCCTGGTCTAAGAGCTTGTCTGGTCCAGGAGCTTGCCTGGTCCAGGAGCGTGCATGGTCCACGAGTTTGCCTGGTCCAGAAGCTTGCCTGGTCCTGGAGCTTGCCTGGTCTAGGAGCTTGCCTGGTCCAAGAGCTTGCCTGGTCCAAGAGCTATCCTGGTCCAAGAGCTTGCGTGGTCCAGGAGCTTGCCTGTTCCACGAGCGTGCCTGGTCTAGGAGCTTGCCTTGTCCAGGAGCTTTCTTGGTCCGTTAGCTTGCCTCGTCCAGGAGCTTGCCTGGTCCAAGAGCTTTCCTGGTCCAAGAGCTTGCCTGGTCCAGGAGCTTGCTTGGTCTAGGAGCTTGCCTGGTCCAGGAGCTTGCCTGGTTCAGGAGCTTGCCTGGTCTAGGAGCTTGCCTAGTCCAGGAGCTTGCCTGGTCCAGGAGCTTGCCTGGTTCAGGAGCTTGCCTGGTCTAGGAGCTTGCCTGGTCCAGGAGCTTGCCTGGTCGAGGTTCGTGCCTGGTCCACGAGCTTGCCTGGTCCAGAAGCTTGCCAGGTCCAGGAGCTTGCCTGGTCTAAGATCTTGCATGGTCCAGGAGCGTGCCTAGTCCAAGAACTTGCCTGGTCCAGGAGCTTTCCTGGTCCAAGAGCTTGCTTGGTCCAGGAGCTTGCTTGGTCCAGGAGCTTGCCTGGTCCAGGAGCTTGTGTGGTCCAGGAGCTTGCCTGGTCCACGAGCCTGCCTGGTCCAAGAGCTTGGCTGGTCCAGGAGCGTGCATGGTCCACGAGCGTGCCTGGTCTAGGAGCTTGCCTGGTCCAGGAGCTTGCCTGCTCAAGAAGCTTGCCTAGTCCAGGAGCTTGCCTGGTCCAGGAGCTTGCCTGGTCCTTGAGCCTGCCTGGTCCAAGAGCTTGCCTGGTTCAAGAGCGTGCATGGTCCACGAGCGTGCCTGGTCTTGGAGCTTGCCCGGACCAAGAGCTTGCCTGGTCTAGGACCTTGCCTTGTCCAAGAGCTTGCTTGGTCCAGAAGCCTCCCTGGTCCAAGAGCTTGCTTGGTCCAGGAGCTTGCCTCGTCCAAGAGCTTGCCTGGTCCAAGAGCTTGCGTGGTCCAAGAGCTTGCCTGGTCTAGGAGCTTGCCTGGTCCAGGAGCTTCCTTGGTCCACGAGCGTGCCTGGTCCACGAGTTTGCCTGGTCCAGAAACTTGCCTGGTCCAGGAGCTTGCCTGGTCTAGGAGCTTGCATGGTCCAGGAGCGTGCCTGGTCTAGGAGCTTGCCTGGTCCAAGAGCTTGCCTGGTCCAAGAGCTTGCCTGGTCCAAAAGCTTGCGTGGTCAAGGAGCTTGCCTGGTCC